AAATATTTGTAAATTCATCATTTTAACTTGAAAAATGACTAAAATTAGACCTATTAGGAGTTTATTATCTTTATAATGTATTATTTGACGAATGCACGATCGTTAAAGGTGGATTTGGTCGAAAAACAACTATAACGAATATATATTCGTTATTTCTATGTTATAACGAATATATATTCGTTATAGTTGTTTTTCGACTAATTCGAGCTTTCTTTATGGTTATTTCCATAGAATTACTTGATAACGATTGTATGTTAATGTTATATGTCATTTGAACGATAGTTTAAAGTTATTAGAGCGTCGAAACCTTCATCACGGAACTCTTTTCTTCAAATAACAACACTTGTTTTGTTTTTTTTTGTTTTTTTTTTTAAATGAAAATATGATGTAAAATATTTGTAAATTCATCATTTTAACTTGAAAAATGACTAAAATTAGACCTATTAGGAGTTTATTATCTTTATAATGTATTATATGACGAATGCACGATCGTTAAAGGTGGATTTGGTCGAAAAACAACTATAACGAATATATATTCGTTATTTCGATGTTATAACGAATATATATTCGTTATAGTTGTTTTTCGACTAATTCGAGCTTTCTTTATGGTTATTTCCATAGAATTACTTGATAACGTTTGTATGTTAATGTTATATGCCATTTGAACGATAGTTTAAAGTTATTAGAGCGTCGAAACCTTCATCACAGAACTCTTTTCTTCAAATAACAACACTTGTTTTGTTTTTTTTTTTTAAAAAAAAAATGGAAATATGATGTGAAATATTGGTAAATTCATCATTTTAACTTGAAAAATGACTAAAATTAGACCTATTAGGAGTTTATTATCTTTACAATGTATTATATGACGAATGCACGATCGTTAAAGGTGGATTTGGTCGAAAAACAACTATAACGAATATATATTCGTTATTTCTATGTTATAACGAATATATATTCGTTATAGTTGTTTTTCGACTAATTCGAGGTTTCTTTATGGTTATTTTCTTATTGATTTGGATTGTCTTTTGGATTCGACATTTGATTTGGTTTGTCTTTCATTTGTCGCTTTGAGCGTGATATGATTGATATGATTCGCATTATAAATATTGTGATGTTTTGGCTATGATTTGCATTATAGGTATAATGATCGTTTAAGGTCGATTTTGTCGAAAAAAAGACAAAAATTAGACCGATAACGAGTTTAATATCTTCATAATGTGTTATACGACGAATTAAGGTCTCGTATAAGGTAAAATTGGTCGAAAAACAACCATAACGACTTTACATTCTTTATAACGAATATACAGTCGTTATAGATGCTTTTCGACCAAAACTAGCTTTATTTATGGTTTTTTCGATCGAAATACTTGATAACTCATGTACATTCATGTTATGAGTCACTGGTATGATAGTTTGAATGTGCTAGACCCTCGAAACACTCTTAACGAATGAAGTTTTATTTTATTTTTTTTTTAAATAACAAATGACAGACCCAGTGTCCAGGTCATCGCGGCCTCGACGGTTGTTGCGGGCGCGACACAGACAATTACAGATCAGTTGGCAGGTCGTCGCGGGCGCGACGACCGTCGCGGGCGCGACATTTAATGACAGAACCTGGACAGAGAATATTGTCCAAGTGTCGCGGCCGCGGCACACGTCGCGGTCGCGACAAGATTGTTTTTTTTTTTTTCACAACATAACGAATATATATTCGTTATTTCATACCAAACACGATTATATTATCGTTATATTGAAATAGCTATATGTCACGGGCGCGATAGAATTTTTTTTTTGTTTTTATTTTTCAAACGCCTTGTAATCGGTTCCTCGACTTATTTTCGGGAGCTCGGCATCAAACCTCTTCGCTATTTATTAAATTAAAACTTGTCGTTACAGAAATTTTTTTAACCATTTTGATAAAAAACTATTATAACTACTGCATTTGTAAGTACGTATAAAATACAACTTCAAAAATCGACCACCCGTTACATTGAAAAACACATGAACAATAACCATTACATTAAATAACACATGAAAAAAATAATACAACAATGTATTATCCAAAAGATCCATACAACTCGTTACATATTAAATGTTTAAAACAAACTATGGATCAAAATGAGCACCAAATATCTCAGCAGCTAGTTTTTCACGCCAATCACTTATACGAGATTGATCTACGTCTTCAACATTCTTCCCAGCATACAAAAATTCTATAAACTTGATTGTAAACATCCCACAATCAAACCTGCACCATAAATGTACAAATTCTATTACTTTACCAAATTTCATAATACACTTAAAACTTAATGATCAAAATACATATTATACGTACTCATTGCTTTGGCTAGGAGATGTCAACCGTTTCAAACCAAACTTTTCATCACCGTATTTAGCATTCACCTTCGTCAGTATCATCGGAATGTGCACTAATGGGCGGAAGCAAGATTCCAAAAAAAGATCTTGATGTTCATCATCTAGCCCCTCAAATACGTGATTCACAACCTTGAGGTCGCACCTATTGGTCACGACTCCGGAGCATGTAGCAGGTATGTCAAAAGCATACTCCATTTCGGTTTCTAAAAGCATAGAAAAAAGACAACATATGTCATAAATTAAAAATTACAACATCAATCATAAATTAAAACAATCACATGCACATTATTATATTTTGAAATTAAGAAGTACAACATTCATACATCAATAACACACACATTGGTTATGATTTTCAACATAACTAATAAACAATTCTACTTTAACGATTGTTATTTTCGTTATGGTTATTTTTTGATCGAATACAACTATAACGATTCAACTTTAGTCATTCAAGTAAATGATCTTCAACTTCATTACTCATCATTTTTATCTAACGAGTTCAAACTATCGTCCTAATGTCATATATAACGAATATAGAATCGTTAACACGCCATTCAATCAAAATAGCCATAAAGAGAGTAAATTCATCATGATTTTCAACATAACGAATTTATATTCGTTATGGTTATATTTTCATCTTGGTCGATTAAATACACCTATACCTTCGCTATTTCATACATTATAACGATATTTTACTCGTTATAGTCATAATTTAAGTTATTTTTTTAATGGATTCCATCATATTCTAAAAAGAATTAACTATGGTTATCTCATAATAGCGAGTGTATATTCGTTTTAGTGTAAAATATAACGAAAATAGCTTCATTGCTTCCATTGATACAACAAGTAGCATATCAAGCATTTCATCAAACACATAGAGTGCACCTTTTACTATCTTCATTTCATTAAATCAATCCTACAAGCATTTCATCAAAAACATATAGTGCACCCATTATCATCTTCAATTTCATCAAAACTAGCAAAATTACATGAATTCACATAACACAATCAAAGGAAAGAACAAAGAATAAATTAAATAAAAGATCACATTCGAAAAAAAAAAAAACGAAAAAATTCATACCTAAGTAGGCAAGAGAGAGTTCCATGGTGATCGTGCGCGAAAGAGGGCGAGAGCGAAAATGGGATTTCCGAGACCTTAGGTCGAGAGAGCTGCGAGCAGAAAAAACTGAAGAAGAAGAAGAGAGCAGAGAGGGCGGGCGGATTAAGAAGAAAAAACTGAAGAAGAAGAGAGGAAGAAAACGTGAAAAAAACTTATTATTGAAAAGGACATATTAGTAACTTCATATTTAATGTAATATCTGATTAAATTTTATTGTACCCATTTTGGTCAAGGGTCATTTACCCAATTTCTTATGTAAAGAGGGTCATTTGAACTAATTCCCTGCATAAACACTGCCATCTCCCACCAGATAGCCATGGACCACCACGAACCACCCTCAGCCTCTCGTCATCAACCCCGACCACCATTAGCCCCGCCGTGAATCTTCACGGGCTCGACACCGCCACAAGGAACGAGTTTAGCGGAAACCCGACTGCAATCCGGACTTTCAATCGCCAGCCGCCTCGTCGATCGCGTTCGCGGCCGCTCCCCTGTCGGCTGATTTGCAAAATGATCTTTCTGTGCTTAGAGTCCACTCACCATATCCAGGTTTGCTGAGTGCAGAGCTGATTGATGCTATGAAAAAAAAAAAAAAAAAAAAATCTAATAAAAACATCACTTTATGTTATAGCATTGCTCGAAGTATTATTGAATCTGATAGATTGAATTTACATATTTCGAATAAAAAAAATCTGTTCATGTGTTGTTTTAGTTTGAGATTGAAGGGGTCTCAGCCAACCTCCATCGTTTTGGATTAATGTTTGAGGTACACTGTAGATAGTTGAATAGAGCATTACAATTCTTAGAAGTAAAAGAGGGAGAAGCAAATCAGCATATTAACTCTAATGCAGGGAATTCTGTTCCAGTTGGTAAAATTTCCTTTGTATTTGCTTTGGGCACATGTGAAACATTATGCATTGTCTTACATTTTTTTGTTTCGTTTCGTCATTCAGCAAGACTCGATAGCTTACGAGCTACTGCGAATTAACTTACATGAGCTCAAGCTATGTCGTACTCTCTATCGAGTCTCCTCCTTAGAAGTTGTATCAAATATGACTTCTTTAATATATTAGCTTATAAACAAGAATCGAATTTGTTGGATATCTGTTGCCTTAGGCTTAGGTGGTTTTACTTTGTCATATCCATTTCTAAAATCCATTGTTTTATTTGAGGGGGGAGTATAAGTAAGGAATTTTGAATCGAAATCTCAATCTGTTCGATAATATATTATCTAGTACATACATGGATTTGGTGGGAAGTACAAGTACATTTCACATAAAAGATGATTCACCTGTAGAAACCAACCAACAAACTATGATCGAGAGAGTTTGATCTCTAATGTGAGTTGTTAAAAGCGAAACCTCACTCGACTAGTTCAATGCCCCCACACATTTTACAACCGTACTTTTGCAGTGAAGAATAATATTAACTTCCTCCAGGTACACACTCCGGATGCATCAAATATTCATCCTCGTTGTACATAGTAATATAGACTTCCATGTCATCACACTCCATAATCCATGTCCTCATCCTCCCCATTCCTCCCTCCGCGCTTAATGCCCTTGTACCATATTGCGCACCCGATGTACACAATCAAATCCACAGCCGTAAGCCCTGCCAGCAGAAAATAAAACCTGTCCAGGTGTCCTTTGTTGAGGTTCCCAGGTATCCACCCTGGCATGTTGTCCACGGTTGATATCTTCATCACGATCGACACCAGCAAGCTGCTGACATAATTCCCGAGTGATATCGATGTCATGCAGAGTGCACTCCCGAAGCTCTTGAGCCCGTCTGGCGCCTGCGCATTGAAAAACTCGAGCTGCCCGACGTACATGAACACCTCAGATGCCCCTATTAAAGCATACTGTGGCACTTGCCAGAAGATACTCAGCGAGCTTGACCCCTGGCAATGCCTGCAGTCCTTTCGCGCATATTTGAGCCGGTAGAGCTCCACGACCCCAGCTGAGACCATGGCCAAGATGGCTATAACGAGCCCGATTCCCATGCGTTGGAGCTCGCTGAGCCCGACCCGGCCCGGCCCAAAACGACGGGCCAGTGGGTCGATCACTCGGCGGTACAGGAAGATGAAGGCTGCCACGCTGAGGATGTCGAAGCTTGACATGCTGGCGGCGGGTATCCTGAAGTTAGAGACGCTCGTGCGCATCGCGTCCCCTTGCTCGACAAAAAGTGAGGCCATTTGGGTGAAAACAACCGAGTAGATTATGGTGCAGAGCCAAATGGGGAGCAATCGGAGAATGCACTTGACCTCCTCCACTTGGGATACGGGGCAGAGGCGCCACGGGTCCCGACCGCCGTTCTCCCTCAGGCGGTCGGCGTCCGGCGGGGTCACTAGCGCTGCTCGGTCTAAAAAGCTGCATTCGACGGTGGAAGGTTATTAGACGAGTTCAGTCAGTCATGATGTTTTTCTGAATTTTAGTTATCACTCTACTTACTTGAACCCCTGAGTGTGAAGCATCTTCCGAACGCAGGTATCAGATTTGTTTGTCGTCGTTCCTTGATCGGCTTCGTACAAACCATTATTATCATCATCATAATTGTTTTCTTCTTCTTCACTGCACAGTGGGGCTTTGAGGTCCCACTTCCTTGAAGCCGCAATGATGACCTGGCCGAACCGCGACAGGGGGTTCCCGTTGGGCCTGAAGTGTCTGTACCTCTCAGTGCCTCCAAGGAAGAGGAGCAGGCCCAAGAAGGCGGAGGCCGTGGAGGCCCAGAAACCGAGGGCCCACATGCCCTCATCCTCGAAGTAGCTGAGTATTGTGTTGGAGAAGAGGGAGCCGAGGTTGAGCGCCAGATAGAAATAGCTGAAGAAGGCAACTTTGGAGTGGCCTTCTCTCGGGTCCTCCACGTCAAACTGGTCGGCCCCGAAGGTGGCAATGTTGGGCTGGTAGCCCCCGTTCCCTAGGGCCACCATGTATATGGAGATGTAGAACAAGCCCAACTCCCAGCTCGAGTGGGTCACGCACTTGCTCAACTCGTCCCCACACCCCTTCGGCTTGATCAACAAGAACTGCGTGGATGCGGATAGCAGCACAAGGCCCTGCATTATTATTATTATTATTTTTCTAATTAAAAAGAAGAAGATTGAATTTGCCGGTTAATTAATTTATTCGTTTTTATGTAATTTATGTCCGTTTTGCGTGTGCTTACGATGACAAAGATGAGCTGGAAGATGGCGCAGGTCTTGTATCGTCCCCAGTAAGAGTCGCTGAGGAAAGCCCCGACGAGAGAGCATATGTAGACTGTACCGGTCCACTTGCTAACGCTGTTGGCAGCATCGGCATTATCTTGTTGGAGGACCCTCGTCAAGAACAGGACCAAGTTCACGCCCACGCCGAAAAAAGCTAGAGTTGCCAGACCTTGGTTTACTGCAATTTAGTACACTCTGTTATTACTAATTGAATAGCAGTTATAATGTGCTTACTGTAAACACTGGACATAAGACACTGTAAACACTGGACACTGCACCAGTATAATTTTGACTGTAGTTGCAACGTATATGATGGACTTCATATCAGCATATAAGAGAATATGATTTATTTTTTTTTATTTTTTTTTTTATTATTCCACTTCTAAGTTCTTGATAGTACACTATTGTTGTAGAAGGAAAAATTGTGATCTACCATTTGTGCTAATTCCACTTTTGACTTTTTTGAAGAAAAATCGTACCTACCATTGTGGACACTATCAACACTTTTGAGCCCTTAGATTAACACATATTAGCACAAGTATGTGCATGTGTGTGATCCAACGGTTCAGACCTTTGTGCACATGTGCACGTGTGTGATCCAACGGTTCAGTTATCAGTGCACACACAGTGTCTTCACTAGTTGGGTAGAATCTTCCCACCTTTTGACATATGACATATGTTGTGGTATTAGTTATCCTAAAACCCGCAAAGTCGATGCTGCCCCATGGGGTAGCGCTCCCGTGGGGTTTTTAGCCACACATTTACACACACTCAAACACACACCCACATGAATATATGTAAAAATTTGTGGCTGAAAATCTCGTGGGGCACTACCCACATGGGTAGCACGAATTCAACTCCTAAAACCATACCATGGGAAAAAAAGAGGGTGAGATTTCGTAAGTTGTCCAAAGTCCTATTTTGTCCTTAGTGGACAAGTTTTTTTGGTGTAAGTTAAATCTAAAATCACATTTGTTAAAAAAAAAAAAAAAAAAAAAAAAAAAAAAAAAAAAAAAAAAAACTATAATATGGAAAAAGCCAAATAAGTCATTGTTTGTGAAAGCCGAAAGGTTTGGTGTGTACGATAAATAAACTAAAATAGGATGCGTAGTTGGACATAACTGACAAATCAGTCCCATGAAATGGACTCAAATCGAACTCTTTTATGATTGTGCTGAACAAACACCCCAAGCAACATTAATTCAATTCTAAACGGTAAAGTAATTTAACCGGGGCTTTTGTTATTTTCTTCATATTACTTCGCTTTTTGCACAATTATTCATATTTTCAAAATTGTAAATTAAACAAATATAAACAAAAGTATGATATTCGACGATACAAGAATGCACATAAATTCTACGAGACCAATGGATGGCGTTCTAATGGATTCATCAATAAATTAATGTTTTGACACATGTCCCGAATGTGATTATGCAAAGACACAGGTGTATACATCATTTGTTAATGTTTACGGGAGACTTGATGAGTTGTGTCATATGATGACTCCTTAGCAAATTTGTAGGTATTTATTTGCATAAGAAAGTATGACCGAGTGAACTCACGATTAGGCTACCTCACAATATTATTTTTATTAATTATTTTATTAGGACAGAAATTCTATAGAGTCATCGGATGATTTTCTTATGGAGCTATTCGTCTCTTAATGTATTGACACATGTCCAAAATGTATTTACTGTAGGACACGTGTCAATTCACTATCTGTTAATAAGTGTGGATGACTCCGTAAGTCGTGTCATCCAATGACTTTGTAGCAAAAATATTTATTGGGATTTTAATTTTTTTTTTTTTTGGTACAGGGACCTTCCGGTTTCCTTTTAAATTTTCATTATTACCCTCTCTAACAAATTGCGTGTACATATATAATTTTTTGTTTTTCTTTTTGTTTTTCTTTTTTTTTTCCTAACTCCAACCTAGAAGTATTAATTAGAGATAAACCAATAAATGACTTTTGATTGAGAGTCTTATTTGGATACCTGTGATGAATGTGAGGTCGTCATGTGTGTGATTCATAAATAATGCTTAGTCATGTCATCAATGCACTCATGTGGGTGGTGTAAAATGTTCAGTTACCCTCCCAAGTCCCAATACACACAAATCAACTTGACAAAGATCACTTTATGCCCCCATCAATTTATAGGGACATGCTACATACGGAACCATTCCGTCGAGTTTGTAATCTCTAGATCAACTATCTCTGACGATTACATGATGATCTAACAGTTATAAACCCCAAAGGAATAATTCCGTAACGGGACCGTAGTATTTCTCCAATTTATATCGATAATATTATTATGTCACTGTCTTTTTTTGTTTCCCATTTTTCTAGTGGTTGTGGAAATATGCAAGAAAAGGAAAAAAAAAAAATATAATAAAACCCCACAAGAAAATAAAGGCCATGTATGGTATGAGCCAACAAGTCATTCCCTTTAAGTCAAGTATTGTCTTGTGCTTTTCTCTTTGTGTCACTAAAACAGAGCTAACTTCTTGATGAGGTGAGCTTAATAAAGACAAAACAACTGGCAATCTTCTCTCTCTCTCTCTCTCTCTCTCTCTCTCTCTCTCTCTCTCTCTCTCTCTCTCTCTCTCTCTCTCTCTCTCTCTCTCTCTCTCTTACATGCACAGAGTTTGGAGATTACGTGTCTCTCACGTCTTGCTCTTCTTACAATCACTCAATCTATTGCTTTACTCCCTCATTATAATTATGCAATATGCATAACATACCGAATTCTAACACACAATAAATTCTAATTAACTGATTCTAGTCCCAAACTCTCAATACTAGGGTTATAAACGAGCCGAGCCTATACTTCAAGCTTAAGGTGCTCGAGTTCGAGCTCGAACTTTTAACGAGTCGAGTCGAGTCGAGTCGAGTTTGGCTCGTTTATTAAATCGAGCTCGACTCGTTAACCAAACGAGTTTTAAATGAGTTCGAGCTCGGCACGTTAAGGCCTCGAGCTCGAGCATTAAAGAGCTGAGCCAGACTCGTTTAATCATTGAATGTGTACGAATTCGATTTGTATACAGTTTCACAAAAACCGAGTGTGCAGATAAAAAAAAAATTAAATATGGATAGCAACAACGTGCGTCATCATGTGGCAGGACTTGCATTGCATGCATGGTGCTGCTACACTTGGAGATTTAATACAATTTTCCTTTGCTCCACACAATATTTCAAGGATGACATCATTGAGATGTGATGTACGTCATATTTAATTACTCACATTTATTATTATGGAAAATGACACCAAAATATGAGATTAATTTATTTTATCACCTTCAGAATAATAATTATTTGTTTGCGTAAGTTTGACTAATATTTTGAGTTTGTATTAAAATAATATTTTAAATATAATAATCACAGTTGATTTGACGTAAAAGTAAGAGATAAGTGTTTGTAAGTGACTGATAGTTAAAATTATGTGACTGAATGAATAGTGATGCTTTGTGAGAGAATTAATTAGTATTATTAAATTATATTTAATGTTGAGAAGAGTTGAAATTGAATTAAATTTGTGATCAATCACATCTTATATCCAAGTACGACCTTAATTATGAACATCACACATACGGCAACACACAAACATGTGTGTGCACCCACACACATGGGAAATTGATCAAACATAGGAAAAAAAAAAATAAATAAATAAATAAAAAGTTTTTCGTGTTAGAATTAAATATTATAGGATGTGAGTTCAAATAAGAATCAACCGACAATTATGATAAATTATGATAACTCTACTTTCAATATAAAACATTGTAGATATATAATATGTAGAGTCTGACTTACCGAGTATTATAGCCCCAGCAAACCATTTCCCGGTCTCTCGTCTGATCGCCGGGCGGCCACAGAAATCGACACTTCCATCGCCTGTGAATTTATCATCATCTTCCTCCTCTTCCAACTTATGAACCTAAATAATTACGCACGAAAAACACGTGCACATATATATATATATATTAGTTAGAAAATAGAAATCATATATGCAAAACTAATTTGCATTGCACATGATGATGATGACTGACCTGCTTGGACATTACTTGTAATGAAGCCATTTATAATTAACTTTGTTTAGCTTGAGTTGAAGAATTATAAGGTGTTATGCAATGGTAGAGGAAGTAATATTATTTTGTGGAGTAAATATTATGAGAGACAAACAATTTGGGGTGGGAGGGTATAAATAGAGATTAAGAGGCCAGAATGGAGGGCTAAGATTTTGGGATGAGAGCAATTAGATTTAAAGATTTTTCAGTTTGGTCTGGTCGAATAATTTATTATTAATTTTTTTTTTTCTCAACGAATCAACGATTGACGACAAAATTTGTTTTTAAAAAAAAAAAATCAATATTCATCCAATCTAATTTTTTTCTGCCACAACTAAATAATAATAAAATAGACAAAATTGTATTTTTTAGTCCTGTTAATATAATGTCGTAGCATTTTTAGTCTCGATATTTCAATTTTTTTTTGTCTTTTGATCCTATAATTTAGTATTTTGCTGCAATTTCAGTCTTTTGGGACTGAAAATCCAAAAGATTTTTTATTAGCAATTTAAATCCTGTAATTTTAAATTTTGTTGTCCCAAAGGACTGAAATTACGTTGAATTTTAAAATTATAGGACCAAATAGCAAAATTGTTCAATTCTTATGACTAAATACGCCACTGTGTCAAACCAACAAGACTAAATTTGTAATTTTGCGAAACAAAAATCATTATGTAACAAAATTTACAGTAAATTTCATTATTCATCATCTACTCGCATTTTTTAACTATGAATTATATACTTTTATTTATTATTTTTCTTTCACATCTACTTTAATAATTAGATTTTATTATATATATCTATTGACAAAATATACAATTTCAACCAAACAAAAATTTAGAATACTCCTTGACTATTTTTTCATTCAAACATTTATTTTTTTATTTAAAATAATCTACATAATCCCACTTTTTTGACAAAAAAACAAAAATTTAGAACTGCTTGACTATATTTTTATTTAAAATAATCTACATAATCATATAATAATCTAGAAACTATTTTTTCATTCAAACACTTTTTATTCAAAATAATATACATAATCCCACCATCTAATTCAAGTTAAAAAAAAAAAAAAAAAAACATGGGAATAATTTATATATCCACATGGCCCACATGTGTGCATATATATTTAAATTTAGTAATAATTAATAACAACAATAACAATATAATTGCATATTATATGCTTTTGACGTCACAATTTGATGGTGAGTGTGAGAGGTGAAACTCCACAATCTGTCGCATTCAGACCTAAATTACTTATGTGAGCAAAAGCTAAAAAATACCTAACTCTTATCTCCATCAATTTTTATAATATTTTACCAAAGCCTATTTATTGTATTCATTTACCAATTATGTACATAAATGCATGTGACTTTTTCCCAAAAATTATTTCCAAAACGGAGTAGAAAAGAAAATTAACACGGAAAGGATCTGAATTAATAAACAATAATATAATTATTTGATTTACTAATTGATGGTAGTCCAATCATTCAACAAGTTTTAGTTATACATGGTTTTCTGTGTCCCGACCTTAAATCTAAGTCATTAATCTGCATATTTGATGGATATATCAGATCTAAAGACATACATATGTAAACTGGTCACTTCTCCTCCTATTAGAATACGTAGTATTCTTCTCATCAGTTTTCTGCTACGTGAAGAGAAGGTCAGGGGGAGGTGGGAGAAACTAATTTAGATATAACAATCAATTCAACCTCGTGTGATCATGCATTGTTCATCTATAACGCAGTTGATGATAATTAATAAGTTTGTTGAAAGTTTATAAGCGATTTTTGAATTTAAAGCTAATATATATAATAAAAATACTTGGATTTTAAGAAAAATTCCTACGAAAATATTCCGTTAGAATGAACTTTCCATTGAATTTTACGATTATTTTTTCAATGATTTTTACCTTATGAATATTCGTTGAAATACGCAATTTTAGCTGAAATTTTTATTTCCATTTGTATTTCAACCGTCGAAATCGTCAAAATGCAACAGAAATTCGAAGGGAAAAATCATTTAAACGTAATATTTTTGTTGAAATTTATGTTCAATCTATATATTGGAAAATTCCAACAAAAATAACAGTATTGAAATATCCATTGAAATTGTCTTTGAAATTTCAGTGAAATATATTTCCGTTGAAATTTTTTATTTGAATTTCTTCATTTTATTATAGTATACACTCTCAATATATATGCATGAAATGCAACACTTTAAAAAACATTGTTAATTTAACAATTTACAATATAAATATCAATTGATACATTTTTTTTTATTTAATAAAAGTGTGCATAAGAACTAAAATTGCAAGTAGACTCCAAAACAGATTATTTTAGTTCATATATTAAAACAGGTATCTTCCACAATAAAAAAAATGAATAATAGTAACGGATTATATTATATTGCTAAAAAAAGACAACATTGAATGACTGATGATATAATTAAAATAGTGCCAACACACTCACAAAATTAAAGTGAAAAGGTCAGCCTAATTAATATGCCTTTTTGTATGCTAATTAAATTGAGCTTAAATCTTTAAACCAATTAAAACTACATTAATTGTAGCCAAATATGTTCGTACAAAACTAAATAATACAAATAAAACAAAGGAAAATATATGAGTAAATTTTAATATTTTCGAATTTTTACACACGTTGAAGATAAGAGTGAAATAGTGTAGAGATAATTAAAGCTACAGTCTACAGAAAAGGACACAACATATACATGAAAGTTGACAATAGGAATTAGCTAGCCAATTAATTACAGCAGACCACAGTGGAGCATTGATTGATTGTACATTGTGAAATATATGTGGCTAGAAATACAGAAAAATGTTACGGTCCCGTTACGAAATCATCCGGTCGATGTTTGTAACTGTTAGATCATCATGTAACTGTCGGGGATAGTTGATCTAACAGTTATACAAATTCCGATGGAATAGTTCTGCAACGGGACCGTAGCATCTCCCAAAAATATATATACAGAAATATATATGCAGCATAAAAGATTTTAACTCCAATATTGACTCATTTAAATTAAGGATTTAATCTAATTGGACACATATGTGAATAATGATTGATTAGATGAATGATAAAAAGAAAAAGAAAAATAAAAATTTCAGAGAGAAAATGTAAGCATAATGAGTAGTCCATAATATGTTCATATAATTAGATGTTTGGGAGATTGTGAATTGTGATATACATTGTTTTAAAAGAAATATACTTAAATGACATCAAATAAATTTGATAGTGTGAATGAAAACCAAATAAAAATGTAATGTTAAAAGTTAATATGGTATGAAAAGGGCAAAATTAGTAGCGCTGTCAAAACTCAAAATAGCCGGCGGGCCAGCTCACTCCGCCCCTCAAAAAGGGCGAGTTGGGTCTGATTTTTATAGGCATGCCAAGTAACGGGTCTAAACGGGCAACCCGTGGATTGGCCCACCTATTTAAACAATATATTATATTATATTATATTATGTAATTTATGTTTATATATAATGTTTATAACATTTTCATAATGCATATTTACACCCCATAATCAAATAATCTAGACAACATTTTTATTAATAAGTGCGAAGCTTGTGGAAGGCTTTCACGTTTCACCCCTTGGGGTATAAATTTACCTACTAAATACCTAAAAAACATAGTGATAGAAGATTGAATTCTTACATGTAATACAGCGCCCATATAATTGAGAAAATCAACAAACACTCAAATGAAAATATAATTCAATAAAAAAAAAATCAAATTGAAATTCATATGGATGTTCCAATGTTATAAGTTGGGTTGGAAACAACCAACAACTCAAAACTTTCTCCATCAAACTCAACATATAAACTTAAATGATGTTCCATTTTAAAACAAATTGGCAATAAAATGATTAGCCAACCAAGCTTATATATTGAACTTGGAACCTTTAATTTTTCGATGTTGGATCCTTGAACGGAATTCGAACGATCCGACCATCTTGTACCGTCCGACCATCTTGTACCGCCATTATCACCCACGGAAAACGTTGTCTGACCACCCTTTCGCTAGGAGGACTTTTGAAACAAGGCGCATGGATCCACCAACTGTCCACCTACTCCATGGGGAACATGCCACGTCATCCACATCGCAACTGGGCTACTAGCCGTGGTTCGGATATCAATTGTTAAGACCACAACTCTAAACTCAGTTCTCCATCAAACCCAACATACAAGTCCAAATGTGATTGCATTCTAAAACCAATTGGCAATAGAAGGATTTGTAAACTTCATCAAGGATCTTGAATAAATAATTTGGTGTATACGAATACTTACTTGATGCGGAAGACGACATAATTAGTGATCTTGATCTTGATGATCACAAGATACTTGATCGATTCTTAGGACTAAATTAGTTTCTCCCTTCTGTCTTTCTCTTAACATAGCAGAAAAACTGATGGAATAATACTGCGTACCCTAATAGGAGGAGAGAGGACTAATTTATATAGGGGTGGCTTTATATCTGGTACGTCCATCAAGTATCCAGATTAATGGCTTAGATTTGTTTGACCATTAATTAAAGACCTAGCCCAATAGGATAATTAATTGTAAGCCCAATACTTTCGGGCCACATATTCTTACATTCTCCCACTTGGTCCGAAAGTCCTTAATATAATGGTATAACATTAGTTGCGCATAAACAAATCTCATTATGCCATACATCATAATAAACTATGACATGATAAACCATATAGTGAGAGTTATGGCGGTTGTACACTCTCGATTCGCATACTTCCTTCCATATACTACTACACTAACAGTTCAACACATCAAGTTCCATAATTATATATAAATATCATAATGTCCACTTAATTGTCATGAAGACATTCATTTCTTGTTCTAAACATAATGTATACAAAATCATAATGAACAAGAAATTCGATAATAGTCAGAAACATAACATCAATGAGCTCAAGAGTGTGCCATAACATCATCATAATCAATCATCAATACAACC